CCATTGATTAATCTGTGAAATAAATGACGATTAGTCAATTAACTGCTTTGATAGTCGTTAGATTAATTGATTATCAAAATAATCGTATGTTGCAGCCCCAGTTGTGAAAATAACACAATCAAGGACCTTTCTACAGTGTGTGTCATTGTAAAGACTGTAAATCCTATATTATTCTAACCTGAATAAAGACTACAGTTTGCTGTTGGCAGAACACAAAACTCTAATAAACAAGAACATGGGAAACATGCAGTTTATTTTAATGGAAACTTCTTAGTATTCCTCTGGCTTTAAAAATCGTTTATTTTCACTAGGGTTGCAAAAAGGTGGTAAATTTCAGAAACATTCCAGGATTTTTTTGGGGAATCTTCCGGGAATTTTGGGAAAGTTTCCGGAAATATTCCACCCCTTTGCAACCCTAATGTTCACTAAGCTTAGAGCAGTGCATTATGGGATTGCGTTCACGTGAAGGATGCGTGTGATCCGTGTCTCTCGGTGTTTGTGTCTGAGAGATCTGTAGCGCCGCCTCTAATTGGGCTGCACGTTTAATTGGTCTATAGTGGTGTGTAATGAGATTAGCGCCCGCCGCTCCGTCAGGGTTCAAGCCCAGCTATTGTTCACACATTAAAACAAGAGCATAATCACGACACGAGGGACAAATGGAGATGACTCCGTACCGCTGTGGTTTTACTACAGGACTTTAACGGTTACTTATTAGAGTCCAAAAGATCCGCCGTAGTTAATATTTATAGCAGATGAGACGAGCCGATCTGGACGCTTGCACAACACGATAGGAGAAACCGCTCTGATGTGAGGACAGAGTAATGGAGATTAGGACGGTTCTGAAGAGAATCACGGGTTATTTCTGCTCTGCTGCTGCGTCTCTTTTCATCTTCTCTTGATAAACACGCTCTTTCAGCTCCGTGCAGATCCCAGCTGGAACTAATGTCCCTCCTACAGTACAGTCCCCTGAGGGAACACTTATCAGTGCGCACTGCGCCGCCACAGACAGAAGCACACTGGAATCATCTGCAGTGCTGATGCTTGATGCTTGCACAGCCAATCTCATGAAAACACGGCCGGACCACAATGCACTGCAACAACTGAAAGAAGAAACAAATCATAGTGTGTTAGCCTATTTATAGGACCGTGGTGGATTTCCCCCCCCCCCCAAATTGCATAATTTCTGGTCTCGCTTTCAAAATTCTCATTACTGTAATACTCCAGAGCCTTTTTCTGCTTTGCTCTTAATGGCGACTCGGATTGCTGTAATGCAAAAAAATCCCCACAGTGCGCATTACAGTAATAAAGCCAAAGATTTTCAAGTTAAAAATTTTTTTGCATCACACAAATGAAAAACAATGTCACAATGGAAAAAGTGTTCATGGTCTGAAATGATTTACGTTGTTCAAAATACAGCTTTTTTCTCTGGGTTTTGGGCTGAAATACGAGCTGGATGTGTTCTTGAGATTCAGCCCAGATTCTGCTTTCAGACTGAAAGTCTGAGTGTGTTTTTTCTGCTGATATTTGAGGATCAGCTCAGATCTAAAGGCCGTCCAGAGAATGAAGACAGAAACATCTGGAGTCCATGTGTGTGAAACAGAAGACTAGAGCCGAGAGAGACAATGAGTCACAGAGAAGCCCTCCACCACCCCGTCATGTGCCTCATTTCCTTAAGGACTGAGCCGCTCGCTGCCAACACACACACACACACTTTACTGAGCCGCTCGCTGCCAACACACACACACACACACACACACACACTTTACTGAGCCACGTCTCACTGGAAGAACTCGCAGATCTTCTGAGAGTAGAAACTATGATTCCCTCAAACTCACTGACCTGTAACTTCCAGTGAAAGGAGAACAGCAGAATGGAGTGATCAGGCAAGAGAAGGACAAGAAAGTGAACAGATGGTGCAGCTGAAGGAGGAGGAGCTCAGTGAAGGACGGAAAGACGAGATGATTTGTGAACGAGTGTTTCAAAGCTCTCGGCTACTTCATGTGTCTGTTTGTGCCATGAGTCTGACTGTATGTCTGCAGTTTATACTTCCTGTGTGTGTGTGTGTGTGTCTGTGAGTGAGTCGAGTCTCCCTCAATGAGGTACTAAAAAAAAAAAAAAAAGACTAAGAAAATGAAAAACACATTGCTCAACACACTCAAAAAAAAAATAAAGGTCACTAAAAAGCAAGCACTCTAAAGGGAACAAACTCAACTCAAGTCCACTGGAAAACACTGCACTAAAGCAGGGGGAATGTCTTCTACAGCCCGTTTTCTTGACCTTTTCATATCTAGCTATTTGATTAACAACATTAAATTTAAAGACAGACATCTGAAGGAAACTCTATCCCTTTCTAGAGAACCGAAAACAGAGCCCTTTAAAGGGTTAGTTCACCCAAAAATTAAAATTAGCCCATAAATTACTCACCGCATGTGTATTTTATTCACATCTCACTTTTATTATCGGTGTGTTGTTGTTGTCTCAGTGTACTGGAAGCTTGTGACACTATAACAAATTCCTTGTATGTGCAAACATACTTGGCAATAAAGCTCTTTCTGATTCTGATTTCTGATTTAGATTTTTCTGATATGACTTTCTTCTTTCTGACGAATTCAGTCAGAGTTATATTTAAAATGGTCTTTGATCTTACAAGCTGTTTAATGCCACTCAGCGGGTGTTGCATGCATCAGTCTAAAAGAAGTTAAATAAAAAGCGTCCATCCATAAAAAAATTAAGTGTCTTGTGTGTTGAGGGTGAGTAATTTATGGGCTAATTTTCATTTTTGGGTGAACTAACCCTTTAATGCTGCACTTGTACACTTGCGTAAGCATTCAGTCACTGACCACATCAAAATAAAACCAGAAATAATTTTACGCCAATAGCGTTGACGGACAGACGTAACACTGAACCGCGATTCCTACTCTCGCGTGATCTGGAAGTAGCTTCTACATTCTTTCAGTATTGTGACGTATTTCCAACTGAAACTGAATAGAGGGTGGGGTTTATTTTAGTGCTCCTCCTCTCTCGCGGTTAGAGGGGCGTGGCTAGGGATACTCCGCCCACACCATCAAGCTGACGTCAGACAAAACGCCACTCCAGAGCGGAAGCAAATTTTCAGATTTTGATTAAAGATTACCAAGACAAACTTTTTTCCATTAACCTGCACAGATTATTTGTTCACCACATGACTAGCAACGTGCACAAAGTAAACTGCAATCATTTTGATTTAATGTGGACTTTACTTTGAGGCAAACTTAAAAAAAATAAAAAAACACTTTCTTGACTCTATACCAGCTGAGACTCATGCACTCGCTCTATTGTCTATCACAATAACCATCACACTCCGATTTTACGGCTCTGCTCGTGGGGTCAAAGTTCAAAGTTGCCATGGTAACACATGTGTGCAATCCCATAAGGGTAATTACTGGAGACGTGGGGTAAATAGAGCACGCTACAACAGCAGAGCGGATCGTGGGCGACCCAACGGCATCTGAGCATATTCAATACACGCGGCTCAGAGCATGAGGTAAAAATGCAAAGGCTTATTTGTAAATCTCCAATCAGAGAGCGTGCATGTGTGTGTGTGTGTATTACCCCCCACCCCCCCATCAGCCCACTTCAGGATAAATGGGAGATCAGAGACTAATGCCACTCTGAAACAAGTGTAGATCTCTTTAGCACAACAAAAAGCCTCTTTACTGTCAGTGATACAGCAAATCCTCTTCTAACGGCGCTCGCATGTGTGTGTGAGAGGCCGATGTGATTTTAATATCACAGGCAACTCATTGAATTCCTACAGATTTAGACCAATGACATTTTTCACAAATCTGCACTCACAAAAAACCATTGCATGAACTGACCTACAAACACCGGACCTGGAAAACCTGGAAATCACCGTTCTCCGAGGTTTGTGCCGCTTCAGATCTCAGACACTGTAAATGTGTGTTAAACAGGCTGGATGATGGATAATGGACTGGTGTGTTTACACACACTTTAAATCGACGTCTCATTCCTTTAATTTCCTCCATGTCCTGCTTTTCATAAGTGCGTGTCTCTTGTTACCAAACGGTTTGGTTCCCGCAGCCCCCACTCCATCCCAGTCTCTGCTGCAGGCGTATTTCCAGACTTGCTCTCGGAGCAGGATCAATACCTTTTTTGGGCTACACCAACAAGCTCCCCACACACACACACACACACACCCACACAC